ATAAACATTTTTTTTATTTGGTAATATGTGATTTTATCAAACAAAAAAAAAAAGCTTACATTCACGATACCATGAGAAACCTTGTGGTACAAGCAAATTTTGTGTAAAATTTTGTGTAAAGATCTATCCATAATATCCATAAATATAGATTTTCGTTAATTTTCGTCCATTTTTAGTTTATCATAATCGCGGAGCTCTTGCGATTAGAGAATTTGTTCACAACATACGTGCCTATCATTACTTTAATTTTAATTCGTTCGTGGAAATAAAACCTATATACATAATTTGATTATTTGGAATTCGTTCTAAACTTTAAACAACAAGGCTCTTTCTTATTGAGGACCAAATATAACTAGAAACGAATAAAATTGTCCAAATTGTCACAATCTCTTTTTTTGTAATTCTTACTCCAAGAATGAAATCAAAATTCCAGTAACACACGGAAAAGATAGATTTATCCCGTCAGTTCATTAAGAAAGACGTTTGAGCCTCGTTTTGCATGCAGTACATGATTTTGACAGGTGGGAAGGAGATCAATCACGCCAAGTATTTCCAAGTAACATGGATTAGCTTGAAATCATTTAATTAATTTTAATGTCAAGAAATGATTTTTATTGCCCTATGCGTTGTGGCATTAACAGATAAATTAATAAAAAGTTGCAAAGCCATAAGATGTATAAGCCATATATGCATTGTCAGCAACTTATCATCAACGCCTTACATTGCATTCATTTACTGAACACCAGTTACATTTTATTATTCTATAAGTCCACCACTAATTTAATGCATTAAAAAAATTTTTTTTCTTCCTTCGCCAAAAGAAGATGATTGTTTCCTTTGTTCAAAAAAGTCGGAAGATTCCGAATTAGATTCGATGAGTTGCGACAAATAAGTTTAGATCACTTATTCGTGATGGTATTTATTCATTCATCTTTTTTTTTTTAAAAAAAAAAAAAAAAATTCTGCCAAACATCTTGGATAATGCGAGTTGTTGCTCGTAAATTTATGTAATAATCGATAAATAGGGTTCAATGAGTATTTCCTACCTTAATCAACTTTTTAATTTTTTTAAATTTTTTTTTTTATTAAACTAAATATTCCGAATCTCTTAATTTAATGTCCGATTCTAGAGAGTGTACCTCCCGAACCTCCCGAAATGTATCTTTTTTTTTTGAAACAAAAGATTTGTGTACTGTGCGAAAGATTATAAATTAATTGGTTGCTACGCCAAAACGCCTTTTTTCCCACATTTTCAATTATATCACGGTAAATTATTCTGTAACTGGCGTTAGATTCTATGTAAAAAGGCGTGAAATGAGGCGTTGGGATTTATTAAATGATCTCTTTTAAAAATCTCTATTTCTAATTTATAAGATTGATTAATCACTATATCTCAAATACCGCTATTAGACAACAATGGTGAATTATATTGTATAGACCTTGTTGCAGCTAGCTTAAAAGTTACCCTGGTAAACATACTTTGTCCATGAAACAATTGAAATATATATATGTATATATATATACTGTACATATATATATATATCAATATAACAATTTATACCAATTCAAGCGTCTGATTTGATGAAAAAATTTGTTTTTTATGCTGAATAATCTCATTAAAATCTTTTTTCCCCTCGAAAAAAAATTTGTATCACACTTGTAATCGGCAAATCTTCCATTGTTCTCCAATTCATTCAACAAATTTTTTTTTTCATTTAAATCAGCAACTTTGAAGAATGATTCCAATTCTTACTGGATAGATTTTTAGTTATTAATCTTTCATATGAACGTAGGCAATTATCAACCGAAGGGGCCGCTTTTTTTTAACAGAAACAGAAAAATAAATAAATAATACTTGTAAAGCATCCCTTTATTGTATTTTTTTTTTTTTTTGAAATTCTTTTCGATCTCTTTTATAAATTGACAAATATGGCAAATTATATAATCAAAATAAATCTTGAAACATATAATCACTTAATCGGAAAATATTAATTAACCTTACCAATCAGAACATCCTTCGGGGAGTGCATCTCAATATCTAAAATAAAATAAAAAAAAAGCATCGACAAATTTTTTATAGATTTAAATATTAGGATTAATTAATTAATTATATAATAAATGATTACCAATTCCGTGAAGTCTCCGGTTATATTATAAATTTCGGCATATCTTAAAGTTAAAGTTAAAAAAAAATAAATATTCCCACCTTTAAGACACATGTATGGAGTTTATTTATTTATAATCAAAAAATCGGATCGTATTTTGATAAATACAGATTTATAGATTAATAGGCACTAAAAGGTTACGATGACACACACAAATAATATTCTAAACAAATCATTTGATGATAAACCTGACCTGTCAAATGTTTTCGTGTTATACGCCACCAGAAACGTGCGAGCATGATGTAATAATGTGGGGTAGGGACTTAATCTCGTCGTTCATATCATTCGTTTGACAAAATCGTTCGTCTCTTTTCATTCAATATAATTAATAGAATTTTTTTTTTTTTTTTTTGCGAGAAATGCGTTGTGAGATATTAGTGCAGTTGAGCTTTCTATTTTCTCGAATAAAGTTACACGATATGTAACATTACTGCATGTTTTTCGGCCGTTCTTATTTGTTCATAACTGAAACAATGAAAGTTGTTTCATTCATTTCGTTTATCTTCATTTATGTAATATATAATATATATATATAAGATTTTTAAGGGGAATTGATTTTTTTTTTCTATTCTGTGAAAGTGATATAAATGAGAATAAACATAGTAAACATGGCCACGAGGCTGGGGATTTTTTTTTTTTTACCTGATCCCTGCATTGTGTATATTTTCATCACATAAGGATGACTCATTGACTTCTATTATGGATAAATATCTTCAAAATAAAGGAATAATAAAAATAAAAAGAAGGAAAAGAAAACATTTTCGGTATTGAATAAAATAAAACAACATTGGTTCCCACGGGATTTTGGAGATAACCATTAATGGTTTGGCGGCTGTTCTTGTAAACATTTTCGGTTGTACAATGGAATTCGGTTTAAAAAAGTAAATTTCGGAGTTGTCGAGTGAATATCATCTTATCTTAATTTAGATGAGTGAGAAAAAGGATTCCCATTTTTGTTTGATTGGAAATAACTTTTCCCATAAATATTACGCCAAGAAGATTTCTTAAGAGTTGGCTTTAGCATTTAGATTTGTTTGATGTGTTATGGATCATAATAACTTTAAATGTAATTTGTTGCATAATATAATAAATGTTACAAAGATTTGTGGATTAATCCGGTCAAATAAATGATAATCAAATGGTGAAGTTTATTAATGGAATTTTATATTTATTTTTATAAAATAATCGCATAAATGAATTTCCCCCAACAAAAAAATGGATTTTCTATTACCGCAGCACACTCAATTTTTGTAAAAAAAAACATTTATTAGAAAGGATGATTTTCCAACAATGACACAACATGATAAAGGATTGCTTTGTTTGTAGATTATCATTCCAGTTTTTTTTACCTTCATTCATAAAAAAAGAGATTGTGGTTTCGTGCGAATTCAAACCCAAGAAAGAGGTTTAAATTAGTATTATTGTATTTCCATAAGACAACAATGGACTTTTGATCGTATTTGAGGGATTAATTAATCTAGTTTCATATGATAATTGAGTAATTCTAAAAGCAAGTTTCTCAAGTTTTATTAAAAAGGATAAAGGAACTTCTGCATATACTTATGTACATTGTAACACTCACCCCGTTATACATCACATTTTGCATCCTTTCTTAACACACTATTTCAAGACTGATCAAAGTCTTGTTTATTGTTTCTGTGGGATTTGGATACAATACTACACATGAATGGAATAGTTTATGAACTGACCCCAGTGTCATCTGAAAATTTTGACATACTTCAAAAAAAAATTGTTTTAATTGTTCCTCTTTGTTAGTAAATCCAACAGTCATGCCATACCTTTGAGCATACAGCAACCAATACCTGATACACCGCATCAACACTATTTTTTGGGTGCCAATAAAATTTACTCTTTTTATCTTACAGTCATTGCTTCCAATATTCTTTTATTCATTCTATATTATAATTGGGAAAAATTGGTATTCTCGTTATTCTCTGGAATAAAAAAAAAAAGTTACGAACTTTACCGTTTAAATATTCTATTACTTTCAATTACCCAGTCGTAGGTTAGTATTGCTGCATCGTGGTGATTTAATTCTGCAGAATCCATTATTGATTCTTTTTTTCCTTATTTTTGTTTTTTTAAAAAAAATTGTGTATATTATATTATCAATTTCTTTCCCATGTGGTCTTACAATAACGACTGAATCTCTCTAAAATTTGATTCTTTTATTTAAATAATGATATACCACACATATTATGAATATATATATATATATATAAAAAAAAAAAAAAGGAAATATTGTGGTACAATAGAAAAAAAAGGGGTAAATTTTAATGTAAATAAATGCATATCAGATATCTACTAACAAAGAAATTATCTTTATTTTTAAATTTTTTTATTTTATTTTATTTTATTTTTTTTTAAAAAACCGGAATAAAAACTTTTTTCTTTTTAAATAAGTAAAATAAAGGTATATAAATTTTTTTTTTTATATTGTTTTGATTTAAGTAATCTTATTTCATTAACTTAATATAAATAATTTTTTTTTTTTTTTTTTTTTTTTTTTTTTTTTACATAAAAACGAATATATTTAACTCCAGACATTTTTATATTCCACCATCATCCTACGAAATTTTTTTTTGGTTCAAGTTAATTTTTTTTTAATCTTTCGAGAGAAAGATCACATTCCCTTTTGTTCCTTGCCATTCTAAAATCATTTTTTACCTTTCGTCAAATATACACCCTGAATTCCTTTCACATTCTCCTTTCGTATTAACATAACCTGTTTGGAGAATATAAGTTTTTTTATCAAAAACTACTCCATCTCTTTCTCTTCATTTATTTTTTAAAAAAAAAAACTTCCTTAAAAAAATGAGTGAAATCTTTAATGATGACTGTTACAGCCTACTTACGGCAGATGACAGTGATGTATGTTAAATCATTATTAGCATTCATTTGGAATTTTTTTAACATAAATTTTCGATTAATTTTTTTTTTCTTTTGTTCGCTGTGGGATTTACAGGTAGATCAGGATTTGCTCTTTGTAAGTATTTTATTAACGTAATGATTAATCTGTCAAATAAACAAATTTTTAAACACCAATCAAACAATACAAACAGCATTTGGCATTCAAGAGCGTTCTCAAGAAGAATTATCTGTGTCCTTTTGACGATTCTATTAGGGTAATTATTGAAATTCAATCTTTTCCTTCTGCTTTTTTTTAATCATTTAACGCTAACATGATTGTAAATTTTACTTTTTTTAATTTGTAGAGATGCTTGGATATTGGGTAAGCAATGTGTAACTCTATTGTTAAAGTGCTTGGTCGGAAATCCTAAATTGTCGGAAATTTGTGGGATTCTTGCGCTGATTTTTATGAATTCTAATTTTCCTATAATATAGATGTTCTGGTGGGTCGTGGGCCATGGAGATGTCCACGTGAGTACTTTATATTACGATCATTAGGAATTATTTCCTTGAAATTATAAGCGATCGGCGATATATTTATAAATAACTTTTCTTCGTATTTAGGGAGTTTCCTCAATGTCAATTTATTGGAATTGATATCGAATCTCGAGCGCCCGAAAATGTTTTCCCGATAAACTGCTTGTTTGAGGAAAGCAATTTCCTCAGTAAGTACCGTAGAATGAAAAGTTGATTTTTTCCGAGATTTTTATGTGAATAATGTTAAATCATTATTTTTTAATTTTATATAAATTAGAAGAAAGATTACCATATCCTGATAATAGCTTTGATGTCGTGCATATCCGCATGACGCTATTCTTGTTGGATGTTGAACAAATTCGCTTCCTCTTGGGTGAAGCATCGAGGGTAACAAGGCAACACGGGTATGTGGAGATTCTGGAACCAGACTTGTCTGCCGACTACAATGCTCCGCTACTAAGTAAATTAGTGGCGGATATTAAAGGGGTGGGACCTGAACATCATTATGAAAAGATGTTAATAGAACATGGACTTAAGCCCACCATACATGAGACCTCTATTCCCTTGGGTAAATGGGGTGGAATGACCGGAGAATTTGCTTTATCAATTTTAAAAATGGTGTTGCATAACAACGCACATCTAAGCAATGAGGAAAATATCAATCACATAAGCAACGAATGTGAAATGTATAAACCTCAGATTAAAATGTTCTCCGGGTTTTGTCAGAAGGTGTAAATCCTTTTTTTCCAAAAAAAAAAAAAAAAAAAAAAAAATTTTTTTCTCCTACATTTTATTTATCTCTTATTTTTATTTTCTTTAAATTTAATTAAGTTTTTTTCATTAAGAAAAAAAAAAAAAAAAAAAAAAAAAAAAAAAAAAATCTAAGATTATCTTGGGAAGGTACAACAAATTATGAGCTAAAGCCTTTTAAGCCTTTTTAAATCCTTTAAATTTTTTTATTCAAAAAAAAAAAAAAAAAAAAAAAAAACAACCAAATTATCCACCAAACAAATTATTTTATATATATATATATATTTTTTTCTTTATAAGCCTACGATCCATTATTTTTCCTTAAAGTCGAATCTTGTTAGAATTTAGTTTAAATTAACGCACGGCACGCTTTAATTTTATATAATTACTTTATTTCCATCTCGCTTTCGTTTGTTAATTTCAGATCAAAAGGAAAAAAAATCTTTATCCGTAATTTTTTTTCCTTTTGTTCTTTTTTTTTTATCTAAATATTTTTCATTATATATTTTTTTTTTTAATCTTCTTTTAATCTATTATTTTATTTTTATCTAATAAAATCAAATTTTTACAATCGAACTATGGAGTCAAGACTAAGTGAATTGTTAAACATATAAACTTGAGAACAAAATTTATATCGTGAAATTTGTATTCGCCTCCAAGCAGGACCTTGTAATGTTCTTACATTGCGAAAATTGTCCTTTGGTTAGCGTTTATTCGTTTTACCGGATAACCGGATCATGATGTGACAAAAAACCAATCTTAACACGATTTCAAATACAAGATATCTGATATTTGCAAGTTGATTTTCAAAAGCAAGAATTAGAACCAAAAGGGTTAGAAAGTTGTCCCAATTGTAATCCTTGTTTATGTCCTATAAAAAAGGAGTATAATGCTAAAATTAGTAGACATGAATTTATGAACCCTTAGACTTTTATTTTTTTTATAAAAAAAAAATAAACTGTAACATTCACGCGTTAAAGCTTTAGAAAACTCCGCAGCATTCAATTAAATCTGTCCAGACTTTAAAAAATTTTAAAAAAAAAGAAATTGGCCAGACTTGAAGTGAATATAAAATATTCGGTGATCAAGAAAATTATGTCATAATAAAATTTCGCAATGCAATAAACAAAAGGAAATGGTTGGATTTAGTAATTCGGAATGTTTTTTTTTGTAATTGAGAACCAATTGTGTGAGGTTGAATCGAACCAAACCAATTTCAATTAAAAAAAAAAAGCCAATTCATCATCATCGTACATATGAACGCATTTATACCAAATGAATTCTGTAAAGTTTTTTTTTTTTCCTAAACAATAGAGTATTATTACAATACATATTTTTTTTTAAAAAAAAAAGGAAAAGCGAAGTAGGTGTGCAGTAAAAAAGAATACCCCACAAACATTGCATCATGTCTAGACAAAAAGTTTTTTTTTTTATCCACAACTAAAATTCGAATGAATTTTAAAGGACCGAATTTGTTTAATTTTAAATTGATTCACTAAACACTGATCGTTTTTTTTCTTTGTCATCAAATGATATTCCTACTTTAAACTATCAACATGTGCATAAGAAAGAAAAGGTAATAATGTAATCCTCAAAAGTTAGTATAATTTAGGTTAATTGATGAACTCGGGATTCTGGGTTTTTGGAAATAAATTATTTAAAATTTTTCTACATTGAGACAATGGATAGGTGAAACAAGCCTTAGATGGACGGTGAAAAAATTTGGGAATTCTGTTGGTTGGAATTATGGTTACTCTTAACCTTTTAAAGTTAAAAGGAAATTCTATTCGTGATTGAGATCCTTGATTATATCATCATGCATATCTAATAATCTACCATCTAACCAAATTTTCATTATAGAAAGAACAAAAAAAATTATCATTTGAAGATACCAGGTAACAACGAACCTAAGGATAAACGATTCTATTTTTAATTCAAATACGTACCATAGAGATTCATCATTAGTAAGCGGATTTTGTAATCAAGTAAACTTAAAATGATTGAAGAATTTTTAAATGGAACTTAGGCTTTTTTTTATGCGATAGAACGCTTGATTATGTGCTTAACTGGGAAATTGGATGAATGAATTTAAAATAGCATAAACCTTTTCGTCATTAACGTAACCTTTCAAGTGTTTGATCACAAGAAGGGATGGATTGATATAATTCGGCAACATGAAAATCCATAAAAAAAAAAATTTTTTTTTTTGTGCTAGTCATTTCTAAATAAATTCCTATTGTACGTAATGTATTCATTTGCTTGCTTACGAAGTAACAATTTTCTACCCAAATTACATCATTGCACATCTTTTCAATTGAGGTATCCCACTACGCGTTTGATCTACGTTATTGAACAATCTTTTTTTCGTTTTTTGTATCCTCAGTTATTGGGTAAAAGAAAAAATATATTGATTATGTAAATGATTTTGACAGCTGGGCGTGCATCCCCTTGCATAATATGACCTATGAACTTCACACACCTTATGATATTGTGGTTTTACATTTCCAATACTTTTTACCAATAAAGACAATAAAGTAATTCTTTTGGTATCGATTTGGATTCAAGATAAGGTTTTTTGATTTGATTTGATATGCTTAATATACTCTGAGTAACCTGTCAAGGTGTCAAGTGACGCATGTCATTAGTTGTTAAAAATCAACATTGTCCGAATTTGATAAATAAATAAATTAAATAATTCAATGATCCTAATTTACCAGATGGCGAATATTTGTAATATAATATTTCGAATTTATATTGTAAAATTATATCGGTGTGTAACAAAGAACCGGGTTTTCACGTGTTCTCTTTCTGTCACATTAGCAAATTCTCCCATTATAAAATCGAGGAGGTACTTGGTCTAGTACGATAGTGAAAAATATTTTCGTTAAAAGAATCCAATCAACTTTTTAATTTAATATATTTCAAGGACTTTCAGCTGTGAAATATAACAAATTATATTTTTAAAAAAGGTTTACAAATAACTTCATACGAGAGTTTGTTCCTCTTAAATTATTCTTAAAATTATGGAAAGCACATTCAACATATAAACATAACGGGCCTTATGCCTAATTAGAAACAAAACCGTTAACAATTGTAAATCGATGCTTTAAAGTTATTGGTATGTCTGATTCCTACGCTAAGTGCTTATATTCTTGATAGGAAATTTCCTTTGACTATCGGTTTCATTCTCACCCAATGAACACTAAAATGAGAACCCTTTCAATAGGACTTACTTTTTACGAACGATATCTTAGAATCTAAAATGCTCGAATCATTTACTTTATAATTCCTCATATAGAAGTTTATTCACTTATTCGACTACGTTCCACCTTGCCAACCGCCGCCAATATCACATTTTCGAACTTCAATGTCGAGAACGGTATCAGTAATAAAAAACTCCAATACGTTAAACTAAATTAAAATAAAATGCGATTCTACCATTCTTTTTTTTTTAAATTAATATTAAGCTAATCTAATTATCGAAACTGCTTTATATGAATTGTCATATACTGCAGAAATTTCATGATTTGAAGTGTCATAAACATTTGAGTTTACATCATATAGGGAAGGAAGAACTTTAAATTTTGTCATCTTTGGACAATAAACATGATATCCTTTGTCTATAAGGTATTGAATAAATATAGAACTATTGATCCCATTTATATATAGTTATTTATTTATTTATTATCAAAAAACATATTCATTAAAAGTCATTCAAAATGTCCTAACTTAGAAACAATCAATATTCTAATTTTCCCATAAATAGGAAAATAAGATATTCGAATATTCTTTTTTGTTCATAAATATCTACAACATAAAACAGTTCGAATAATGAATTAAAAAGAAGAACCTTTGAAATTTTACCAAAGTATTTGAATATAGAGAAATAAGGGGATTGATACCTAACGCTAATGATTCCGATTCCTAAGGAAAAAAAAGAGAGTAAACTAAAATGATACATATATCGATAAAACAGCCAGGATGATTAATTGCTTTACAATAATTACCAAATGTAGTGCGATCTTCGGTCGATTTCTTGGCCGAATGGATTGTAATACATCAATAATAGGTAATACTAAATATTGCTAATATTTCCTGCATGATCCATGCAAAGCCTGAAGAAATATTCCCTGAGCGCCATTTTCATCTCGATTCATTACAGCTCCACAATTCTGGCAGTTGTACACCTTAGACCCTCCAATTTTTTTAATTTTCCACACCAGCTACAAGTTTTGGATGTATAAGCTTCATTTTGGATGATAACATTTCTTCAACTTTGGTTATTATATGTTGTCGAAATTAAAAATGTGCCCAGCTGAGCATTTTTAAACTGTCTTTAAAGTCTTATTTTTCAATTTATCATATCTGATACTTCAAAAGAAGTGATAATAATAGCATCAAAAATGCAATTGCCTTTCTATGAATTTCATTTTGCAAATGCATAATTTTTTGCTACATTTGAAAAATAGTATCACTATTTCTTCTGTGATTTGAAGTTTATATAATTATTCGATCTTTTTTGGAATTAAGATTATCTATATGCTTATGTCACCTCCTAAATTCGTATAGAGGCGATTTAAATATGTTAGGTTTATTAGATTATTAGGGAATTCAATGTATTATTACAAAATATGTATATAAATCAATTTGTAAAAGAATTAAATAAAGTTTTATTAAAATAAAAGGAAATTAATTTATTAAATAAAATGTAAAATAATACAATATATGCAACTATTACTGCCTCTACCAGTGCTCTATAATATACCCAAAGAAAAAAGGAAATCCAAGGCAAAAAAACCTTCTTTTTATAACAAATTTCCTTTTTATGGCTTAATTGTAGAATTCGCTAATGGAAATGTTTAATAATTTGTTATGTTAAAAACAGTTATTTTGCCATATACATTCTATTATCCTGAGGAGTCTAAACTTTTGTAAAGGTATAAACTAATTCATCAGCTGAATCAGCTGAATCATTATCTATATTT